ATGCTTGAATGGACAGAGAGAAAGAGAACTAAACAACATGACATGCTGACAGCTACGAGGCAAGCTGAACAGAAGTTTACCTAGACTAGAAATGAGTTACCTGCCACTGCATATTAGGATAAATGGTGAAGGAGTGGGGAGGAGTGTAGCTCTACGCATTACGGATCTATGTCGCAGGCTGAAATCCGGTGCCTGGGAGAGTAACCATAACGCGGCTGGGCCACCAAACAAGGCCGTGACCCCTTCTGTTCCAGAAAGCCAGGCTGAGCTTAGCTCTGACCCAAGACTTTCCTCATTTGTGCATTGCTTTGGACAAAATCCTCTACTAAATAAATAAAATTCATTACAAAAAAAAAAATTGATTCACAGTCTCAAATTAACCATGTACAATTTCCTTCTTTGTTTAGCAACATTTCTGGGAATTTCAGACTACGGTGACATATAACCAAGCAGCTAGAAGGTCATACATGGTAAGAGCCATACAGATGTGTAGTAGGATTTACTCATCAGCGCCAGCTAGAGTCCAGTGGACAAACATCACTCTGGATGAAAAAAGGGATCAATAAAACGAAATGAAATGTCAGTGTGTTATCAATCATGCTGTTCTGCTGTAATGGAAACAAGGACAACATTTCTGATTTTTATTTTTAGTTTTTGTGCTAAATAAAATTCCCAATAAAACGGGGTTAAGGTCTTTCTTGGCTCTTAGTAAGCATTGTGTATCTCTTTAATAATATGAGTATGTACACTTACAAAATATACAATTTTTAGAAAAAGCGTGATTTTACTTTATGAGAGATGAGGAAGTTCAAGCCTGGCCTCCATTCACTCATAGATGCTTCTCCAGGAAAACAGCAAGGCTTAGAAATGTATGAGAAATGTTTGTGTTGTGGATTATCAGGAACTTAAGAAAAATGATACTACGCTTTTCCACATCCATGCCTCCATCTACCTGTATATTTACTAAATAAAACCCTTTGCTGTAAAGCAAAGTCTGCATGACAATAATGCATTTCTGTTGATTAATTTACCAATACCACGATGAAGAAAAGATTTTGGTCCACAAACCTGCTTATTTCAAAAGACAAAATGTGGCTGGGATGAGACCTATAATTGTTTTGATCAAGTATTTAGATGACTACACCTATTAAGAGAATTTAATGGTGGTAAATGATTTTAATGATTTAAATAAGAAAATGTCTTGGTCGTTGATGGGAATGATGATCTCTAAGAGCCTTAAACAATCAAGATCTGATTGGGGACAAGCATGGGCCGACCACAATGAGGCAAGGATCAAGAGGATAATGATAACACAACTCTTAATTAATTCCTTATTTTGTTGACTAATTGATTTTTAAAGACCAGCCATCCATCTTCAGAAAACATCCAGTACTCCATTTTCAGATGCCAAGACAAGGATCCCTTAAGGCAGAGTACACAACCACTTGCCCTGTATAATAATAATAATGATAATAATAATGAAGAAGAAAAAGAATTATGATGCCGCAAACCATTTTCCAACAAAGCCATCAGAGGCTGGCCCCGCCCATCTCCCTGTTATTGATAATTTATATAAAAGATGACCATTAGTAATACAGCACAAGACACTCATAAACATAAACTTGCGCCTCAGCTGAGGGCTGCAGTTAAGTTCCATGTCCACGGCAACTGGAAAAAAAAACCCTCTGAATGATGGAGGGAGACTCTCTTTATTTCGCGTTCCGTATTTGATGGAACCTAACTGTAGCAATGCCTCCACAGCACAGGCTCCGCCCTCCCGCGTAAATGGCAGTACCACGGGGACACAAACACTACAACTGCTGTAATTGTTTTCCCTTTGAAACACAAATGCCAGGGAAACAAAAATTAAAATAAAAGCAAACATCCCTAAAAACAGCCTTGTTTGTCCTCATACACAATGGGGACGATCCATTAGATTTATTTTAACATCGAACAACTGTCGTAGCTTTTACACTAAAGAGGAGACAACATTCTTTTCATGTGCTTGTTCTCGCGCACATTTTGGCCAGAAGAACAGTACAGCCTCTTTCCACATCCAAAAACACTTATATCAGCTGGTTACTGAAAGACATACAATAGAGATGTACTAATATATTAAGTTATTTTCATTTTCATTAAAATAAGAAAGAAAATACACCCGAAAATAAGCCAAAGGGGACGCTATGATTAAATTATCATGTTGGCATTCCCCCTGAGACTGCGCTGTGTCGAATCGATGATTTGCCCCATTTGGTGATATCTGCTTCACTGATTCACGTGGAACCTTCAGAATCAGGATCATCTTTATTGGCCAGTATGCTCCCACACACAGAGAATGCATGTCCGCTTGTCAGTGGCTCTCATACATACAGTAAATACAGACACAGTTAGGACAAGACGAGATAAGACAAGGCGAGACAATGGTCACATATAGTCCAAATGCTATATAAAGCATGCAGGTGTGGTTGATAACTGTGAAAAAGTGCAGGAGTACATATCAATGCAAAGAATGTTAATAGATACAAGAAGTACAATGCAATACAATAAGTAATTTACTGTCCGGCTGAGATCACCGACAGTTCTTGCATACAGAACAGTGGCAATGCTGAACACAGGTATCAACGGAGCCTTGTAATTGCTAGTTCTGCAAGGTCCTCCAGTGAATTACTGACCTGCCTGTCAGCTTGACCTTGCATGAGTCGATTGACCCCTTGGCCGGGCAGAACTGATAAACGGCGGATGGTTTTCAGATAAGAGCTTAACTGCTGTGTTCCTTTTTGCGTCTGATGTAGCTCAGAGTGTGGCACTACTGAGCAGCTTTCCCGAGGGCTCACTAAGATGCACATAATTTCATATATCATTACCAGCAATTACATAAAGCAGAGGTTCCTATTAACCACATACTACCATGTGTGCCTGCAGCTAAGAGGACTGCATGCTAGCCATGAGGAAAACTGACACCACCTAGAGGACAGTTACACAGTAATTATTTTCCCCCTCACATGTTGCAGTACGAGCTTGATTTCAGTGTCTATTTCAGCGTCTTCAATGTCACCCAATGGGAAACACAAGGGCACTAATGGAAATATGAGGATACAAATCCCCTACATAATTTTATTTAATAATACTTGTTGTTGAATATTGGGAAATTCACAAAAGAGGAATTTATAGCATAAGAAACGCCTGCATGCTTTTAAAAACTCGAACCACTTTGTAAGGACTATTATTGCAAAACATTCACATAAATCAACAAAAATCTAACATTGCAATTTGCAAATTTACTCAACACTGGCGTGAGATTTGACATTAGGCCAAAAGGCTGTGGGCTGCGATTCTGAATCAAGCATGTGACTTGAAAAGATTGTAAATCCCCTTCATTGCTTGTGCGGGATCCCAGACAAGCTTAATTTTAACATTGGTTCAACTGTAAATAATATGCTGTAATACCATAAGCTGAATTAAGTATCATTATGTTCCATCAATTGCTGATATGAATAATTCTTCCCAAACTATGCTGTTTGTTGCTTGCTGCATTTCAATCAGACCAGCTGGGGGCAGTATAGCTGGGGTCAGAGACCCGGACATCTGATTTCCCATACACCGTCACTACTGGCTCAGTGTGGGCCCGGAAAGTCTCAAGGTGCCCTTGTGCATCCATATTTGCGCATTTCCACTGTCGCACGCTTAACGATAAACGCACGAATCGATAAAAGAAAACAAGGTCTTTCTCCCCTTTGCATATTGCCCTAAGCAGTCTGCCCAGGTACAGGTGATCACCTGCAATGAATTTTCATTTTTTTTTGTAGTCTAAACATTTTCAGAAACATGATAGCAGGCTGCCAGCGCTGAAGGAGAGCGTGTGCCGTGTGCGCAGGGGACGGCTGCTTCTGGGTGCTGGAACACGCCGTTTTACTCTGCTGCTCAGAGTGAGAGAGTCGCTGCATGACAGACGGCTATGTGAAGGAGAAACATCTCCTTGGCTTTTAGCACAGTGACTCGTCCTTCTGGTTTACTTATACAGCAGATATAACAAAAATTTGACTCACTGACCTTAAATACAGTAAATCTATAGTAGCAAAATTCCCTGTTTATTTCATAGCAGGTTTGCGTATTGTAAATAGACCAGTCCAAAAAAGGTAAATAGACCAGTCCTGTGCTGGTGCCACCAGATACGTAACCCAAATTCCACCAGTACAATATCCAGCTCCATAAATGAACAAAACTGTAAGCCACTTTTTAAAAATATAAGCAGAAATGAATGAGTATTTTGTAGGGGCAGCATGGACATAAAAAGAGCCCAATTACTTTTTGTACCCCATAATCTTGTAGTTTGTATATGTATACCTGGGCTACAGTGCTTTTAGCAGGATTTCTGCCTTGTCTGACATGACAGATTCCAAATTACTTAAAACAGGCTTAGCACAACAGATATGTGCTGCTTGTCAGCGGCTTAGTGAAATCGCTTTGCACAAAGAGGTATTAGCCAAAAATGTGGAAAACACAGGAACCTTCTCTGGGTCCTAACAACAATCTAAGTGCTGCTGCCTTAAGAATTTTCTGTTTATATATATATATATATATATATAGTTTTTCTTCTTACAGTTGGAAAACCACCTTACTGAAAGGAATGAGTCGGGAAACACACAAGCCGTATATATGTATGTAAGCGTGTATGTATGTGCACAGATTGCAGATGCCAGTTTTCTTTTTTTATCTGACATACTCATATTTAAAAACACATATTTAAAAACAACATAATTTAAACTGAAATACTGCAATTTACAAACATGTACATAATTCATTTACATATTCATGTGCAACTCAAGGATCAGAAATGTCAAGCTGCTGTACTTTCCAAAAATGCACACACACACACACACATATATATATATATATATATGTGCATGAGTGTGTGTGTGTGTATGTATGTATATACATAAGCATGTGAGAGAGGGAACATGAGAGGTGGACTGACAGAAGACCAACGTTCTGCTCCTTACCTGGATTATTGACATCCTGCTAGGCTGGGACTCTGTGCTGCTGCTAGCTGGGCCGGTAAAGCTGCTTTGGCAGCCCACAGCGTGTCCTTGAGGAACAGTCAGGTTGCTGGCGGCGGGCTTTAGGTACATGACCTCTGACCTGGGGGAGCTCAGCGGCAGGCGTGTCTGGTAGTCAAAATACACGGGGGACGTGGCGAGGGAGGGGCTGCTCACCACGTTCATGACGTTCATGGCATCCCTCTCCTCCACCTCACTCTGAACCAGCATGATGTCGTTCTTATTGATCTTCTTCTTCTTGTTCTTGCCCAGCTGAGGGTGAGAGTACTCTGCGATTCTGCAGTTGTAGGTCCTGATCTCTTTGTTTTCCCGCTTACATTTGATGGCGATGGTAATCATGGCTGCCAATAGCATAACAGAAATGATACTGAGAGTAACGATGAGGGGCAAAGACATGTCCCAGTTATTCTGCTCCTCGTTGATTCGAGGTTCACCTTCTGGCAGAGGTCCCGTGTAAGTCTTAATGATCAGTTTGGCCACAGCAGAAAGGGTTGGCTTCCCATGATCTACTACCTTGATTATAAGCTCCACAACTGGAGCTACCTCCTCCCACACTGGGTGGATGGTCCTTACCTCCCCAGTGACTGCATCTATCTCAAACAAGTTCTTTTCATTGCCGTCCGAGATCTCGTAGGTCAGACGACCGCTTTCCCCATAGTCATTGTCCACCGCCCTCACTGTGGTGATGATATGTCCCACCCCCACATTCCTGGGGACATGGATTTCTGCCGTGTCATTTTGCAGCAGGGGCAAGACGATGACTGGAGCATTGTCATTGACGTCCAGGACACTGACTCTCACTGTGGCATTGCTCTCCAGGTGAGGAGATCCTGAATCCTTTGCCAGGACCTTAAACTCAAAGTATTTTGTCTGCTCATAATTAAACGATCTTAGAGCGTATATGGCACCATTAGTGGGGTTGACAGACACGTACGTGTAGATGGACACATCACCAACGTTAGATGGTAGAATGGAGTAGGACACAGTTCCGTTCTGACCAAGGTCAGGATCATGAGCTAGAACTGAACCTAGATACTCCCCCGGGATGTTATTTTCTGGCACTTGCAGCAGGTAAACTGTTTTGGTAAAACGGGGTGCATTGTCATTTTCATCTAGGATTTTCACTGTAAATGATTTGGTCGAATTTAAGGGGGGAATTCCATTGTCCCTGGCCACTATAGTCACATTGTACTCATCCTGCACCTCCCTATCTAAAGGTCTGTCTGTTACTACGGTGTAGAAATTGTCGTAATTTTCCTCCAGCTTGAAGGGCACATTCCCAAGCACTCTGCACTGGAGCTGCCCATGTCTTCCTGAATCTTCGTCTGTGACTCTGACCAGGGCGATGACCGTTCCTGGTGGGGAAGCCTCGCTGACTGCTCCCTGTCGAACAGAGACGAAGCCTATCGAAGGCCAGTTGTCATTCCTATCAACAACCTTAACGGTCACCTTACAGTGACCCGGTATTGGATTTGGTCCCAGGTCCTTTGCTTGTACATCAATCTCTATAACTGGACTCTCCTCATAGTCTATTTCCCCTTGAATTTTTATGACACCTGTTCTAGGGTCAATGGAAAACAGCTCCCTGATTCTGTCCGGTGCGTAACCACTGAAAGAGTAGACTATCTGCCCATTGCTGCCTTCGTCTGGGTCCGTCGCATTTAAATCTATCAACACTTTCCCAGGGGGTGAATTTTCAGGAATCTCTACCACGTAGGACGGCTGCTCAAACATAGGACTGTTGTCATTGGAGTCGATAACCTTGACATTAATTTGCATTGTCCCAGATCTTGGATATTCCCCTCCATCAGTTGCTGTCAGTATGAGTGTATGATGGCTCCGCTCCTCCCTGTCTAAAGGTCTCTGAATAACTAACTCTGGGAATTTAGTGCCATCTCCTCTCGATTTCACATCCAGAGAAAACAAGTTGTAATCGTCCCGCGTGATCTGGTATGTTTTTAAGCCGTTCTCCCCGGAGTCTGGGTCGTGAGCGCTTGTTAGCGGGAAACGGGTGCCTGGAGCCGCGTTCTCGGCTATGTCAATGTCGATCTGATCAGACGGGAAGCTCGGCGAGTTGTCGTTTATGTCCTGTATTTCCACTTTAATCATGCAGATCTCCTTGTCGTTGGCAAACACTTCCAGAGAGAGCTGGCACTTGGGGTTCCGCCTACACATGGTTTCTCGATCAATCCTCTGTTTGGTGTACAGCAGTCCGCTTTCGGGATCCACATCAATAAGATGAGGGGCTGAATTCTCCAACACCCTGAAGTTGGACTTCTTTCCCCTCTCACCGGGTCCAATTTGAGCATCTTTGGCAATGTTTCCTATTACGGTTCCCGGTCCCTGTTCCTCGGGAACAGAATAATTCAAGTTCTTCAATGTCAGGGCTTGAGCCCATAACAACAGGAAAAACGGCACAGAGAGATGCATCCCTTGTACTTGAGCGCTTGTATTTTTCAATGCCTTTTCACGCTTTCGACCTGTTGATTAGCTCCGTGAGCTGACAGTTTCTACATCTAACTGCCATCAAACGGGGCATTCCGCTCATAATTAAACACAATTTACTCAAAATATGCCTTTTTGCATTCAATTCATTTCCCAGAACTATTTCAATTAAAGGCGGGGGTGATGTGTGTCCAATTTAAATTCAACTGAACGTCTTTTCTCATCGGAAGCTTAGCCGAAATCCGACTTTCACAAAACGAAATTATTGTAGCGCTCCTCTGAAATAAACAGAAAAATAACATGATTCAATTAGTACAAAAAGCACGGCGGTAGGATTACTATAGCAGGCTCGTATTTGACACTTGTGAAATTGAATAAATCTGCCTTTTTGCTTATATACAGAAAGGGAAAAAAACTATTGCTCCCAGTAGTATGCATAATTATTATTATTTCTTTCAAAAGGATCACAAGCATCATGTTTTTTAAACCATATGGCACAGGAAAGAAAAATCATTAATGGCAATGCATACTAATGCGTATTTGTTAATATAAAGTGCACGTCCGGGACTGGATGTCGTTCTTGAAAAGAATACGATATATGTTTAGCAAAAAAAAATATCTTTGGAGATGCTTAATAATATACGATTGACGCTAAACTGTAATAATATTCAGCCGTCTTAGAGACATGTGACGATTACAAATGTCTTCCAATACAAACACCAAAAAATCTTACTGCCAAATAGCAACTCATTGTTATTATTATATCATTATAATGTAATTATAGAGAATGCTTAAGCATAATTTTTTCTTAAATATTCAGCAGTCAGTTTCACAAATAAAAATAGTCAATAAGAAACACACACACACAACAGAAAAGAAAGATTTTACAAGCTGTTGCATTCACTGACAACTTATCCACACATACAATAATCAGTAGGATTTCTTCAGTGAATACAATTTTAGGCGATGTCTTACCTTAAGAAATAAATTCCTGATCAGTTATTTGTGTCCTTCATTCCTTGATCGGAGTCGCAGAGCCACAGGCTGTGAAATATTATATCGCGTATACAAGTAGGACAGAAAGTATGCCTGCAATATCAATGAGTCGGGTCCTGCCGGGTCCTTTCCGTGTGATTATAAAGAAACGCGTTTTCCAGTTCACGGATCACATCACTCCCCTGCCAGTCATCTCTGAGATGTTTAATCCATGTGGGATATATACATGTGTATTCCGACTGGACTTTTACGGTGTGATCAAACACCTCGCATGCTGCATTGATGCAGGGTAAAACACCTCTGTGATGCCATTGCCCTTGCGCTGAATAAGTCCAGCGTTTACGAGATTAGGACAAAGTGAAAGATCCGATCTGCACTTTCTCTTAAAAAAAAGGAAAAACCTCGTGTCATCGAACAGTATATGGGATTTCTTTTGAAATCAACAGCTGAGGACCTTGAAGTAGCAGTTTCACATGCACACGTACCTATGCCTTCCTCTCTGTGCTTCTCACTGACAAACTCCGTTCACCTCAGAGTGCATTTAACATTATTACTGATCTGCTCCCAGCCAGTCATAGGAGCGGGGACCAACCCCGCCTTCGAGTATCATCCAATAGGCGTAGCAGCTTTCCCTCGAGGGCGGGACCTACGACTCGCTTAGTTTTGTACGTGATTTGGCAAGTTATTCCAGACACCGGTCACTTAAGATGAATACGTGTGTGTAGCCGATTGATTGAAAACCGCAGCGGATTTATAAATAAATTTATTTTGTCTGTACATTTTTCATTGTTCACAGGCTTGGTCAAATGTGTTTAAATGTTTTAAAGCGTGAACGTTTCAGCCATTTGCTGCATTTAACGTAAAATTTCCTATAGGCTATCTAACTGACAATTGTATATAGTACAAATATACCAAAAAATACATCCGATATATTGCAATTATATAATTTTTGCAGGCTATAGTGCTTAATATCTGAACTCGAATTTCAAAATAACGAAAAATAGCTTTATAGATCACTATCAATCATAAATGAATCGCTTGCAATAACGTCGCTAATGAAACTTAATCGTGAGATTAAAAAGTTTTTGTCGATCGGAGAATAGGCAAAATACGCGACATTCAGAACAACAAACAATCAGCCTAGATAGGGCGACGGATGTGAAGTGGGCTGGAGCGAAATATGCGTGCGGCGGCAAAGGAAGATCCTGCTCACTGTCCGGATTTAATTATATTCAATTTTACGAGAAGTGGAGAAAGCGAGACTTCCCAAGGAAATCCGAAGCAACAGATGCATGTGAATCAAAACCACCATTAGCGGTATTCAATGCGCACGCACTGCTATATACAGTAGCGTTATTTACCTTTGATGATGCAGTTAAGCTATTCTTTTATAGTACAATGTAAAAATGCGTTCGAGAAACTGCATTGGCAGTAGCTGTGATAATGCAAAGGTAAAGTTTTTATTTTATGAACATACTTCTAAATAAAGATATGTACATTTGCCATTTTGATAACAGCTAAATAGTTCAAATGTTGACATAATCTATAATATCCAAAATGTGTAGAAATTACTGTTATTTACTGATAGTTTCTTATTAATTGGGCCATTTGCTCCCAGTGGGGGCCAGCACGTGGTTTTAGGAACTGTTGTGATGGCAGGCGAAGAGCAGCCACAAAGCTCCGTGTGGATGATCCACCTCCACAATGCCAGTTATCTCATTATGAAAAAAAGACAAAGTCACTTGTGAAAAAGCTTCTCTTCCATTACCCCATGGATGTGATGTCGCTCAGCAAATGCCAGTGAATTATGCCCATGGGATAGCACTTTATTTCATTTTCAAGCTCTAATCAGATGCCTCTAATCAAAACTTATGGTTTATAGTTCAGTTGTTTGTAAAGCTTCACATTTTTGCTGAAGAACATCACGGTTCAGTGCTTCTCAGAAACACTCAATACTGGGAAAGAACCCATCTCACTATTTTATTTCAGAGAGAAGCGTCACAGGGCCGTCCACCCGAAGGCCTCTGTGAGTGCGGATTCTCGCCGGCGCTCCATGCCGTCCACCCGAAAGCCAATGTGAGTGCGGATTCTGGCCGGCGCTCCATGCCGTCCACCCGAAAGCCATCTGTGAGTGCAGATTCTCGCCGGCGCTCCGTGCCGTCCACCCGAAGGCCTCTGTGAGTGCCGATTCTGGCCGGCGCTCCGTGCCGTCCACCCGAAAACCTCTGTGAGTGCAGATTCTGGCCGGCGCTCCGTGCCGTCCACCCGAAGGCCTCTGCGAGTGCGGATTCTCGCCAGCGCTCCGTGCCCTCCACCCAAAGGCCTCTGCGAGTGCGGATTCTGGCCGGCGCTCGGTGCCCTCCACCCGAAGGCCTCTGTGAGTGCGGATAGTTGCCGGCGCTCCGTGCCCTCCACCCAAAGGTCTCTGTGAGTGCGGATTCTGGCCGGCGCTCCGTGCCCTCCACCCGAAGGCCTCTGCGAGTGCGGATTCTCGCCGGCGCTCCGTGCCCTCCACCCGAAGGTCTCTGCGAGTGCGGATTCTGGCCGGCGCTCCGTGCCCTCCACCCGAAGGTCTCTGCGAGTGCGGAATCTGGCCGGCGCTCCGTGCCCTCCACCCGAAGGCCTCTGTGAGTGCGGATTCTCGCCGGCGCTCCGTGCCCTCCACCCGAAGGCCTCTGTGAGTGCGGATTCTCGCCGACGCTCCATGCCCTCCACCCAAAGGTCTCGGCGAGTGCGGATTCTCGCCTCCCCCTGCTGGACTTTGGGGTTATTGGGCATCACACGACAAGTCTCCTGCACTGAGGACAATTTGAAAGTCGAGTGAGGCAAGGCGAGGTAAGGCGTTACAGGCCCCAGCTCTGGATGCGGTGGCCAGGAGCATTCTGATGGTCACGCCGAGGACCAATGCACTAGCGTGGGGAGCTTTGCTGACACTTGGAGCTGCCGTTTTTCCAAACATCCTCCATACTGTGCCATCACTGTGAGATGGAGGTTGGTTTTGCAAGGCAGTACCATTAAAGACACTGATGCTGGTGGATGTGGATCCAAGAGGCATATCCAACACCAGACCTAACAGTGCCAGTGATGGACGTTCCACAAGATGCAGGAAGGATGACCTTCCTCAAAAAGTTTGATAGTTATATGGGGGCATTGTTCATCTGAAATATGGAAATTAACTATCCAACAATAGCAATCCCAGTTAAGTTACATAATTTACAGAAATTCCTACAAGATAAACTTTAATGCCAAAAGTACAATATCTAGTAATGTTTCACATGATGTTCTTCAGATCTTTCTTTCAAATTTGCATCATTTCTCTGATAATGTATGTGGAAGAGGTAAGTACCAAGCTATCATTGTACTGAAAGTTCTTAATCTCTCTTTTTTTGTGGTTTAATATGTAATATGTAGCAGAATTTCTGCTGTGCAAGAAATATTCAGTATTGTCTATGTGACGTTGCATTCTTATGCATTGTAACTAGATTAAGTACTTACTTTTTATTGCTCTGAGGTTTAATTAATGTTGCAACAACCCTACTTTTGATGACTGGAAAATAATCATCATTACCTCCACTGCATGATATGTGGCAAACTCATTTTTGCTCCAATTTCTGCTGATAAAATGAATCCTATTAAGCAAACAGAAATGATATAGCCAGTTTCGACGACGGAGTTTACAACCCTCAAGCTCCTGCTGAACACAGACCCGGGAAGCGAGGCCCTTCGGCTGGTGGTGTAGCAGACAGGCCTGCGCTGCTTTGGGCCTGCGCTGGCGCTTGGTATGCACCGACCGTCGCGCTTCTCTGCAGGGCCTTTGTCGTATCATTGCCAGCTGATTTCTGTAATATCGGCCGTTTGAAGTACTTCAGTCGCCGATGTGGTATGATTATCCTGCAGACGAATATGTTTGATACCAGGATGCTATTAACTGGTTTCTGCAGCCTTGGAGCAGATGTGTCCATGACCTTATGAATTTTTACTCTGTTTCTTCACTATGTGCTTTTAGAAGCGAACACAATGTGCTGCATTGCTTTCCGTGCGGAAATGTTGATACATGTTTGTCTTAGGTAAAATGTTTATTTTCAAATGTTTCAGTTTATCATTATAATATGTTATAGAATCCAATGCACTGCAACTTAAAAAAAGAAAAACCCTTATCCGGTCAGTGTATTGACCTGATTTAGCTGTGTTTTATCATTAATAATGTATTATGACCTTATATACAATTCAGGGATCTAATGACAAGTAAGGTAATACCAATGATTTCTCAAAGCATGTCATTCATTCTACTGTTTTACAAAAGGGACTTTCATTGGTGTAGTTTACATACAGTATACTCAATAGCTTTACAATACCACAAGCATAATGCCTGTATCCATGCTGTAAAGTAGTGATTTTAGAAGCTTTGTGAGGCCGCTGTTCATTCTGGGGCTTGAGGGTCAGGTGACTCTGCAGCTTTGGATCATGTGTCTCCATCTGGCCCTTTCTGCTTGTCTGTAATAAGCTGGTGTTTCTAGCTCCAGATAATTCTGTCTGTCCGATGTCGCTCAATTTGCTGCTGGCCTTCTAGGTCCTAGTACAGGGTTCTTCAAATCTGGACCTCGATTTCAAATCCAGGCCTTGTTTTCAGTTCTCACAGGTAGTTAGTTTAATAATTGCTGATTCTGATTGGTCAGAGGCTTCACACCTGACTGACAGGTAAAGGAAGGCTGGAAAACCAGCAGTGCTCGGACCTGGAGGACCTTGATTTGAATAACCCTGTCCTAGTAGGTGCAGCATAGAGAATTATGTTTTTTTTCCCCTGTTTTGACTGAGTAGGTCATCTACCACTCAGCCCATACCCCACCCTGCCCATATCTCACCCTCTCCATACCCCACCCTGCCCATATCCCACCCTGCCCATATCCCATCCTGCCCATATCCCATACTGCCCATACCCCACCCTGCCCATATCCCATCCTGCCCATATCCCATCCTGCCCATACCACACCCTGTCCATACCCCACCCTGCCCATATCCCACCCTGCCCATATCCCATCCTGCCCATATCCCATACTGCCCATACCCCACCGTGCCCATATCCCATCCTGCCCATACCACACCCTGTCCATACCCCACCCTGTCCATACCCCACCCTGCCCATATCCCACCCTGTCCATACCCCACCCTGCCCATATCCCACCCTGTCCATACCCCACCCTGTCCATTCCCCATCCTGCCCATACCCCACCCTGCCCATACCCCACCCTCTCCATACCCCACCCTGCTGATATGCCACCTCACTTTCCTTAAAAGGCAGCTACCCAAACCAAATCCCAGGTCCCTCCCCTCCAAAGTCTCTTGCCACATGTTTAGGTCTTCAGGTCAGGCTGGCTTTTTACACGTCTTTGGCTGGTGAGGCTGTGACTGCAGCTCTTGGTGTGCGAAAGTAGTCACTGTCACCGTGGGAGACCCCGAAAATGCTGTCCAATTTGCTAAATTAAGTTACACTTGGCAACATTGCAGGCTGTATAAA